AGATAATGGTGGGAGAGAAGCCACACAAAGAGAGAGAGAGAGAGAGAGAGAGAGAGAGAGAGAGAGAGAGAGAGGGAGAGAGGGAGGGAAGATGATGGTGGAAGAGAAGCCACACAATGTACTAAGCTTCTTCTTCAATTATCATTCTGATTTTCTGAGCAGATTAATCAGAATGAAAGAAAGAGAGAGGGGCAGCTGGTGGTCGCTATGTCGGTGTTAGCATGATAATAACAAGCTGTCTTGAATCTTGATGAACAGGCTGCAATTCAAAATGCTACAGCGAGGAATTGAGGACACTGTTATGGTACACGAAAGAAGTAAGCAGCTGGACGATCTCTTCCACTGAAAGTACCCTACGTAACAGCGCTGGACGATCTCTTCCACTCAAAGAACCTTAATCCACCGTCCACCACAGATCGGGCAACCAAAAACCCACCTAGCATAGTGCCAGCCAATCCTAGTTCCATCTCTCGCCTCGCTCTCATTTGCAGCGAACCCATTTGAAGAAAATATGTTCTGCCCGCTCGTCGTGTTTGCCGATACGAGCGCTGCCGTATGCCTCCCACATCGAGTGCACTGTTGCATGACACCCCAAACCAGCCCAAGACCACATTCCACCAAGCAACAGAGTCAACAGCCCATTCAAATTTCAAACACATAAAATTCGTAAATCATAAAACTTGATCGATAAAACTTCATAAAGTGCATAAATAATATAATATAAACTTAATATATGAAGTATAATTGAAGTATTATAATATAAACTGATTAACAGTGATTATTAAAGTTGACAAAACGTAACAAACGACAGCTCGAGTATCGGTGTTAACAAAGTACGAACCTGGCCATCATAATGACCAGGATCGTGCTCTCTAAGCATAAACACAGAAGTGCATTAATGATTGCATGATGCTTTTCAAGGGTGGGAGGGGGAAGAGGCGGGATGGTTACCGCCATTTTTTTGGCATAAAAAACACAAGTTTCTCAGATCACATTAATTAGAGCCAGGCTGCGCCTGTTCTATGTTCGCATTAACAAAGCACGAACCTTACCATTATAATGACCAGGATCATGCTTTCTAAGCACAAACATAGCCCTGCACATTTGGGCCCAAGCAGTGGTGTCAGCAGTCCCTTAGTTCCCCCCCGGCACCCAGCGGATGGCACACAGACTAGATGCATCTGTATCTGTGTTGGACATGCGGACAGTGGACGGTCCACAGGAGGAGGGATTTTGGACTGTAAATCATGCCTTTTTTGGAGAGGAGGGATTTGTTTTTTTTTGTTTTGTTTTTTTTTGGAAGAGGAGGGATTTTGGACTGTAAATCATGCCTTTTTTGGATCGATAGGAGATCGGGTTTAAACCACCAGTAGGTACCGATATCCGCGACACTTTTTTTTTTTTTTTTTTGCTGCTTCAAACGATTTCAAAATTCAAACCCACGCTTCCCCCCCCCCCCGCAATTCATCCACAATTTCCCGCTGCGGATACCGGTAGGTACTGGTGGTTTTGATGGCCACAGGCTGGGTTGATGGGCGACTGCATAGTAGTTAGCATGGGTGGAAGAGAGAATGACATTACAATTCCCTTCCCTTATAAGTTCATATGAACCTGGACCGTTTTATATCATCACATGCTGAATACAGATTCAATTCTTTTGATGATTCATCCACAAATTTCACAATGTAATACAGTAATACTGTTAAACTAGCCATTGCTGTATTAGGCCATGTCCAGCAGACCTGCCACAGGCCCACATCTGGCTGTGGCTGTTGACGCCTACATGCCCACCACAGCTGCTATGATTTTTTTTTACTTTTTCCTTTCTTTTAAAGGGCGGCGACCTTGAGATATCATCGTGGAAACTGACCGGGAATTCACTCAGCTACCGTCTTCACCCGAATAGAATGCCCGGTCATTATCACTGTACCTAGACTAAAAGATGCACCAAATACAGCTACAATGACCTCGCATTTTATTTGCGTGAAGACCGTAGTACTAGTTCCATCAGCTGGATTCCAGTTCGCGTATGTATTTCCACAGAGTTCTTTTAGCGTACCACCAACTGCGCTACCAGACCCATTGGTCCACAAGCTGCTATGATTTTTTAATTGAGCACATTTCAACAAAGCAATGAACAATGAGACGGATCCAAACATTTCAAGAGAGTCCCTCCCAATTGTGCATACATACTTCGCAAAGTCGCAATTAAATAAGCAAGCGTCGCAATTAAGAAAAATGCCGCGAATTAAGGACGCAGCGATTTAGAAAAAGGTAGCGCAATTCACGCAAGAAAAAAAAAAAAAAAAAAAAAAAAAACCAGGTGCAATTCACCGACGGCGTTGGAAAAGGGCGACTCACAATAGTAGTTGCGATCGCACAAAGTTTTTTTTTTTTCGTTTTTTTTTTTTTGGTTGCAACTCAACGTTGTTCCGGATGATCGCAGAGAAACTGACTGTTCCACACAAATAGTGAGCAACACCTTTTTTTTTTTTTCTTTTTTTTTTTTGGGGGGGGGAGGAAAACACCCCCACCAGTGTTAGCGGTGCTGATAAGAGCAGACACCAATAGTAAGCAACACCAACGAAGCCGAGCAAAAAGACAGACCGTCGCATAATCGGGGTCCTGCATCGGCGATTGCGGAACGCCGAGGGCACTGACAAGCATCACGAAAAATGAACGAAAGGACGGCGGGCAAAGTGCGGTGTGTGCCGAGGAAAGGGTACTTACCCTGTGCCAGCAGACGTTAGGAGAGCTCTTCCACACCGCTGCGATGACATCTCTGCGACAGCCAAGCAATCCAGAGTACTCTGCCAGGGTGCTGCTTGAGCCCATCCCAAATGCGGCATCCCTCCCGGCAAAACGGCGTTTACGCGACCAAACCTCGGCCCTTTCCCAAGCCCTCCCCAGCTCCATTTCCTCCCCTCCACTGTCTGCCCACATGCTCAGGTCCTTTTCAGGCAGGAGCAGTCGCCCCGCTAGCACGTCTTCTGCAAGAAAACCGGCACTCAACCCTGTGCCTCTCCGAAGCACGTCCTCGATGGGAGGATGGAGCTCAAGCTCCCTCATCAAAACCCCAGCCGCATCGGTGCCTCTAGGTCGCTGCATCTGCAGAGGCCACCACCACCAGTGGAGTCAGAGCAATTTTATATTTTCAGCAATCTGAACTGGGTTACCTCATCAATGCCCGGCAAGCAGTCATCCCATCAGAATTGAATGCCCTCCTCCTCCTCCTCCTCCTCCTTTCTCGTTTTCTTCTTCCTCGACCGGCTTCCTCGTTCGTTCTCCTCGTTCGTTCTTTCTTCCTGCTCCTCAATTTGAATTTTGAAACCATTGGAGCATTTCTCAATTTGTGTGTGCCTTCGTTTCGCAGGGGCCACGCTAACCTACTCTGTATCGTTCCATGTATTTTAGTTTTTAAGGGATGTCCCGAAGACCTTCTGCCTCCTCCTCCTCCTCCTTTCCTTGCTTCCTCCTCTTATTCCTTGTTCTCCTTCTTCTCCCTCCTCCTCCTCCTCCTCCTCCTCCTCCTCCTTACTTGTGCAGTGGCAATGATCATGTAACTGTCTGTTTCCTTCCTGTAAAAGTTTGTTCCCTCCAGTTTTTTTCTTTTTCCGTTGAGTTGTCAGATGGTAAAGTCGTTATTATAGCTGAATTTGGGCTATCTTTCAGTCTAAATACAGCTATAATGACCGTACGACGTACGGTTGTATTCCGGGGAAGAAGGTAGTATGTATAACCATGACGTTGATGAACACATTACGAGTTTGAAATTTGAACCAACAAATCGCCATCGTTTTGTTGGGTGAAGCTCTGAATGTCACTCACGCCAGTCTTGATGCTTGGCAATGCATAGTCTTTGCGGCTCGCCACACCACTGTCGAAACGAAAAAAAGAATGAATGCATGTTACCCAGAAAGTGGCAATATGCATCCGTTGCTATTCATAGTAAGGGTTGCATCTTGCCATTCTCTGCAGGAAGGTGCACTCACACCTTTTCAGTTTCGACAGTGCAGGAACTGCCCGGTAAACCGTAGGCAGAGAGAGAGAAGAGGACAACAAACGAGGGGCTGTGACAAACTGTTTCGTCGGAGTTTCACCGATATCGTCACAAACAGAACTGCCCGGTAAACCGTAGGCAGAGAGGGAGAAGAGGACAACAAATGAGGGGCTGTGACAAACTGTTGCATCGGAGTTTCACCTACTCATCAGGTATATTATGTTTTATATATATTGCTGCGCCTCACATAAAAATGATAAATATTGAATACTTAATTGAGTTTATTAACTTTATTAAGTTTATTTAGAACAGTTCATCTCATTACCGTTGTGGTTTCCCAGCTCCCTCCAGTACCGGCATGCTTCGATGCCATCAGAGGAGCAATACCCGGTCGTTCAAAAGTTAAAACAAGGCAAAGCTTGTCAACCTCTCTAGATTTGAATCATTTTTGCTACCTCCGTCCCTACCTCGCTCCCTACCTCCATCCCTCGATCGCTCCCTACTTCCTCCCTCCCTCAATCACTCACTCACTCACCCTCACCCACTTACTCACTTACTCACTTGCTCTTGGAGTCCCTCCCTAGCTTGCTCCGTCCCTCGATCCCTCCCTGCCCCACTTGCTCCTTTCCTTGGTCCCTCCCTCGCTCCCACCCTTGCTTGCTTCCTCAATCCCTTACTTCCTAGCTCACTTGCTCACTCGATGCGTTAGTGCGACTGAGGCACAATGCATAGGCACCACTGCACTTATTCTTTCTGACATTTAGAAGGGCAGAGAGGAACACAACTGCTGTCAGACTGACAGCCTGAACCAGGAGCATCTAAGGGTTTTTTTTTTTTGTTTTTTTTTTTTCATTTTCTGATTCTTTTATGCCTGCTTTATTTCTGTCACTTTCTCCCCTAAGATCATCATCTTTTTCCTCAAGTTCGAAAAGCCTATGGAAAAATGTCGCCGCTCTCTCTACCAACGTAGAAACTGGGAGAAAGCCAGGCTTTAGAGATCTGGTGGTTGTAATACACACGCAGGGTTGATGAAGCAGAAGGAGGCCACCCACAGTAGCAGAGTGAGGGGGTATATTCACAACTTTTTGAATGTATCTGGTCGCAATTAAGCTCAAATTCAGTCGATAACGGCCTAATGCGATTGTGCTCTAATACACACGCAAGGTTGCCGAAGCAGGAGGAGACCACCCACAAGTAGCAGAGTGAGGGGGTATATTCACACTTTTTTGAAGGCTTCTGGTCGCAATTAGGCTCAAATTCAGTCGATAACGGCCTAATGCGATTGTGCTCTAATACACCCACAGGGTTGCCGAAGCAGGAGGAGACCACCCACAGTAGCAGTGTGCTATAATACTATATTCACACTGTTTTCAAGTTTTTTGACAGTATCCGGTCGCAATTAAGCTCAAATTCAGTCGACAACGGCCTAATGACTCTAGTAATAAGAGCGTGAGAGAGAAACAACAAGTCCAAACCAGAAAAAGGCAATGGTTGTTTGTTTGGGCTCTTTGGGGCAATGATGGGGATTTTGACATGCAGACCTGCACATGTGCATTATGTGCATTGAAAACTTGTCCGACGATATCTGCGCTGACGAGAACATGGCCCTCAGCATAATGCAGCCGCACGCCTACGCTGCCTGCTTGCACTTGAGATGACCAAGCAGATGCAGGAAGATTCGATGTCCTCTTAGACAGTTCTGACAACAAGTGATACGCCCTTTTCACCTGCATTCATCATCAATCATGGTAATAGATTGGGTGAGAATGTCAGCATACACAGAAGACATCGTCCACTCTCTCGAAGGGAAGGGAGCACTACGGACCAGAGAGGCGAAGCACTGCACCCCAGCAAGTCAAACCAGCCAACCAAAGCCCCATACTTTCTGGAGGAAGCAGAGAAGAAGGCAGCGAGCAAGACATGAAACCGAGGACAATGAAGAGGACAACGAGAATGAATAGTTGGTAGCTTGGTAATCAAAAGGCTTGCTATAGTACAAGTTCCTTTAAAAAAAGAACAAAAAAAAACTATCACAGTGTTACTTCGGAAGAGGAAGAGGAGAGCAAGGAGCAGCAGTGGAAGAAGAAGAAGAAGAAGAAGAAGAAGAAGAAGAAGAAGAAGAAGAAGAAGAAGAAGAGAGAATCCAACAAAAAAAGAGGAAAATGAAGGAGCGCAGGTCCATGTTTACCTCCTCATTTGAGTAGCCTTGGCCAGCATTTCCATTTCCAGATCTTGAAGGTCTCGAGTTCACAACCTCCTCCTTGACATTGGCCTTGCTATCYCCCGCACCCCCCCCCCTTTGTTGATCTGTTCCGCCGAGACGTGACCCGCCGACGGGCGAAAGGGGATATGCTTTTCTGAGAATGTAGGAGAAGTAGGCGAGCTGCAAGAGCTTTGTCAAAAAATAACGGTCTCCAGCGAGTCTCACTGCCGGAACCTGTGATGGCCCTGACTGAATTGGGCCACCCACTTCTCCTCCTCCCGTGCCCGCACTTGACATTACTCCACGTTCACCGCCTCCTCCCACTGTCTCTGTTGATCCTCCTCCCATAGTCCCCGCAGTCCCATTTGCCCCTCCCCCCACTCCCATCGCTCCGGTTGTTGCTGTATCGGTATTCCACCCACTCTGACCTGAGGTTGCACCTCCTGCAGACTGACCTGCAAGTCTCTGACCCCCTGCAATGACCATTGGACCCATCAAGTGCTCAGCAGTTCAATTACGTCTGTCAGAAAAATTTCCGCCTCTCCACAACAATCATTTGACCGATCAATTGCTCAACGATTCAATTACGTCTGTCGCACTTATCTATTAACTTTTAAGAACTTGAGATAAAATAAAGTCATAATAACGTAATGCCGAAGACGGTAATGACAAAAGGACTGACTGAAGTTCATCGACTGATGATATCTTTCTTTGATCGCAAATTCGCAATGCACACCCCTCCTGTATCTCTTTCCAATGGCCCTCACTCCGCTACTCACCAAATGTGCAAAACGAGAATGAACCATCCGATAGAACATCGAAAGATAGACCGACATATTTTTTTGTCTTTTGTGCATGTGGAGAGTAGTAGTGCAGCGAGGCCCGATGTTTCCAACCAGGAGACAGAAAACCACTCCTTTTACACTTGTTGTTTCCGTCAGAGACTGATTATTATCTACATCTACATCTACAGTAGGATATTGAAAGCAGTCAGAGTGCAACGTATAAATCGAGAAATGGCACAAACTTTTGAATCGCGTGACCTATGCTCGGCCATCGTGGCGATTCTGATTTCCCTCAGGATCGATGGAGCAAAACGAAAAAGAAAAAGAATTTGTAAGAGTGTCAGTTGCATACCCCGTTATGGTGATGCCATTGGCCGGGAAAGAGAAGTGGGAAGAAGGGTCAGCTGGAGGGGCAACCAGAAAGGACTGTGCGTGAGCTAAAATGTATAAAAAAAGGAACGAAAGAGTAAAAAAGAGGCACGTCAGGACTTTTTTTGCCACCTACTCGAACTTATCAAAAAAGGACGGAAAGGGAAGGAAAAAAAAAAAAAGGAAAAAAAGAGGGATTAATTAACCACACGGGGGTTGACCACGTTGGCCCTCACGATTCCTATTTGTGGGTATTGTTCCCAATCAATTCCTCCACACCTTCGGGCCCGAAGCTGTATTTGAGTTAAGAGAGCGGAGTTGTTGAAATAAAGCGTACATAGTACATACCCAACACATGTCACCGAACGATACATGCGAAGCTGCTTCGCGAATGTGGGGGTAGGCCGATCCATGATAGAGTAATCTTCCTATCGTCCATATGGAGACCCTACTCAGACACAGTGTGTCCCAGAAAGTCCACTTTGCGCTAGGTAAAGCGGCACTTACTGAGCTTGGCGTCCAAGCCATGCTTTTATAAGCATTGCAGGACATCGCGGTGGTGTCTGATATGGTCGTCCAAGGCACGACTGTAGACCAAAATGTCGTACAGGTACACGAGAACGTACTTTTCCAAGGATATCCTTGAAAATATCATTCATCGCCGATTCGCCGTCTGGCAGGTGGCTTATGTCCTCCTCCATTCTAGGGAGTGTAAGTCCAGTTCCTCTTACACCGTCAAGTCTTAGGGCATACTCAAAGTAGCACTTTTTTACTTATTTCTGGACGGAATTGCGCCCAGATGCATCCAGGTCCAGCTGTACATATGGTCAGATACAATGCTAGTGTGAGTACACCCTTAGAATTATGCAGCATAAGAAACTCCACGCTACTTTCTGTTACGCCTGACATAACCCTAAACGGACGCCATTGATTGCACTTTCATCCTGGAGGATTAATTGTAAGCTAGCCTTTCCTTCCTTAATACCTCTTAGTCTCAATCTTGCCGAGAACGTCAGATTTACTCGATAGCAAGATTCTCAGAAGGTCCTAAAAAAAAAAAAAGATTCTTAGAAGGTCACGACTGGCATAACTACCTTCTGCTGTAGTTGCAACTCAGGCTGTCACCCTTTTTAGGATTTTATCAATTTTTATGGGAAAAAAATAACAGTACAGTAACTACAGTTGCGTATGTTTACCATTTAGCCAGATGGGAAATCAGTGGGCCCAGCCGGGCCCGGCTGGGCAGCCCGTGTCTTTTCTTGCCCACATACTCCTGCACCCAGTCCATATAGTACCACATCCAACCCACATAGCACAACAGCCACCCTACATAGTACCACATGCAGGCCGCATAGTAATGCACCCAGCACACGTAGAACCACAGACACCGCACATAGCATCCGACCCAACCCACACAGTACCACACTCAGCCCACATAGCCGTCCACCCAGCTCACATAGTACCCCACCCGGCCTACATAGTAGTGCACCCAGCCTGCATAGTAACGCACACAGCCCACATAGTACTGCACCCAGCCCCCGTACCGCATGCAGTCCACATGGTACTGCACCTTTCAAACATAGTACGTAC